TGTAGGATTAGGGTTTCGGGTTTAGGGTTCAGGGTTTAATTTGGGTTTTGGTATCAGGGTTTAGCAGGATCAGGGTTTAGGGCTTGGGGATTAGGGTTTAGGCTTTAGGAATAAGGATTAAGGGTTTAGGGTTTAGGGCTCAGGGTGTGGGTTCATCATGCGTAGAGCATTCTGGAAAATGTCAAATTCCTGGCTGCGGGGAAAAGTAAAGAAACGACTGGACTAGAGCTCCATGACACTGCTTTTTTCCTTGTTTCGCGTCGAGGGTCACAAGCGAAGTACCAGAAGTATACAAGTAGGACGAGCAAGACGGGTAATGAGAGCAAGAACAACATTTGCAAGATACCCTACCCAAACCCCAAACCCTAAACCCCCAAACCCCAAACCCTAAACCCTAAACCCCTAAACCTTAAACCCTAGATCCTAAACCCCGAAACCCTTAAACCCGAATGCAACTGGGGCAAACAGAATTCTGGCCTTGCTCGGCCGAAAATCCCTAAGCCTGTTCACTGGGGAGCTCCGGTATAGGGTTTAGGGTATAGGGTTTATTGTTTAGGGTTTAGAGTGGGTGTTTTGACATATTTCATGGACATATTTCATGGGAGCCACCCAAACGATGCAGATTCAAATGAAGATGACGATGAAGCACTGGCTGGCTGTTAGTCCCCCACGCTACCACACACGCAGCTGCATTTACACCCGCCCTGAACCGCTATGTCCTGAAGGCTCATGCGGGATTAGACGTGTTAGGTTGCACAACCCTGAGTGACAGTTGTAACTGCAGGTAATTGTCCTACGTATAACGCATGTTCACGCCTTAAATTCATCATCCTGACCCTGAAGCGCTTAATTAGTCAGAATTTGGAGCAGTTTTGATGATGCTAGGTACTTTGCATTGTCCTCGTGACCCGCTCATAAGAACATAGTAATTATGAGACAAAATATAGCCAGGTAAATAGCAGTTTTGAGTAGGCTATAATTGTTTTGCCCCTCTCTAAACCTTTAACCCTCAACCGTACGCCATGGATAAGACCTCAGCCTTGATCTAACCTTGAACTGCACGCACCTAGGATGGCAAAGGAGTTGGAGGATTGCGCTGAGGCTAGTGACTCAGAAGGTTGCACTGATAAAGGCGGTGCTCCAGCACATGTAAGCCATAACCTAGGTTCCTTAAAGGGGGGTTTATACGGAATTATATGTGGCGGTATTTTAAGGGGGTACTTGGGCTAAGGAGGATATTAGGAGTTTCAACCATAGCTCATGTGTCCTTATAGGGATTGGGGGTTGGGATTTTACACAGGGAAGTACAGGGATGACAGGGAGAGTTCAGAAGCTTCTTTCAAGCTGTGGGGGAAGCCTTATGGTGGTTCTTGATGGATCCCGAGTCTAAACCCTAAACTGTCAGAGCTTGGTTCCTGGACATCTATCGTGGGCGACAGAGCAAATGAAGGGACCTGAAGGATTACACTGGTAAACTCTCCAATGTGGTAACATTATACCTCATGTTAGGGGAATATTGGGTTTTGGTTTTAGGGTTTCTAGTGCCAAAGCATGTATGAGGGCAATATGTATTATTCAGAGGGTAATATTTGGGGGAGTGGATTGCAAGACTAGTCCCATCTGGTCAAAACCATCCCGTCCTTACACGAAGTCACAGCAAAAAGCAAGCCACGCGGGTATGGTCGGAGGGTTTGGGATTTAGGGTTTAGGGTCTAGGGTTTAGGGTTTAGGATGTCGTGCTCTTAGAACTTATAAGGTTTGGGGCTTGGAGCTTTGGATTTGGATCTTATGGTTCTAGTAAGGTTTAGGGTGGGCAGGTTTATGGCACCCTAACCCAAAACCCAAAACCCTAAAACCCTAAACTCTAAAACCCTAAAACCCTAAAACCCTACACCCCAAAAATCCTAAATCCTAAAACCCTAAATCCTAAAACCCTGAACCGTAGGGTGGACAGGCCGGTGGTTTAACATTTTTGGCATTGCTTCTCAAGTCAGACCCACATCCTGAGCTCGCCTACACACCCTACATCCTCCGCGGGGTTTAAGGTTTAGGATTTAGAGTCCAGGGTTTAGAGTTTATGGTTTAGGGTTTAGAGTTTAGGGTGTAGGGTCTATAATTTGGGGTTTAGTGTTTACAGTTTAGAGTCCGCTCTTCCTTCCATGGCTTGCTGGTTGTCAGTAGAAAATGCAGTAATGGATCCTTATAGCAGCCCTTCCAATAATTCCTAAGCTCTAAACCCTAAACCCTGACCGTGGTCTAAGACTGCCCAAAGTCTAGTAGTTTCAGTGTTCCTTCATTTCCTGCTAGCTGCCAGCAAGCAATTCATCTTGAACCCTGAGACCTATGAATCCTAAACCCCAAATCCTAAACTCGCAGCCCTAAACTGTACACCCTGTGTTCTGTAAATTCTAAGCCCTGGATCCTAGACCCGGCGCTCTAAATCATGAATCCTAGACTCCCAGCCCCAAACCTTATAGATCCTAAGCTTTTGATTTACGAGGCTTGGGGCTGAGAGGCCTAAACCTTGAATCCTAAACCCTAAGTCACCATTATAAATCCCAAACCCCAAATGCCAAACCCTAAATCCCAAACCCTAATCCTAAGCCCTAAGCCCTCATCCATAATCATGAAGATTGGAATTATGGCCACTGGTATGGAGCCGAGGGCCTTCGAGGCAATGCTGACGGGCCGTGAGTGGTGCGCGAGAACGGCCTCCACGGCCGGCCCGTGTTGAAGCGCCGCGCACCACGGAGGGACGACATGGTGAGGTATATGGTTTACCTGGCCAGCAGCAACTTCTACGTCGTCGCAGACCGCATCATTGACGACCTGTCCCTCGACCAGCCTTGGGACACCACGACGGTAGAGTGCAGCATCCAAGAGGATGCCAACCTCAGGAAACAGGTAATGGCCCATGTTTGCAGCCCATGGCTAGGGCCTTAGATAAACAAACAGCCTTTAGCCATGAACCCTAAACCCTACACCCTAAACCTAACAGATGAATTATGAGGCGATGCTGTGCTCCAGTGACTGCCGCTCCAGCTTTTTGCTGGTTGACAGCTGCCTGGACCTCCTGGCCACAGTGGCTTTAGAGGTTCGCTTGTGGGTTGAGGGTCTAGGCTCAGGGTCTAGGATTTAGAGTTTGGGATTTAGGGCTTAGGGTTTAGGATTTAGGATTTGGGGTTCAGGATTTAGGGATTAGGATCTAGGGTTTAGAACGTAGGACTTAGAAAGCGGGGTTTACTTGCTGATTGTTATATAGCTCAGCGGGTTGTGGAAGATCGTATGGAATGGCGTCTGGAAGCGACATGAAAACGGAGAGGTTACAGGGATACATGGGGCTCGGGGTTTAGGGAGGATGGTTCGAGTCAGTAACAGGGCTACTTTCCAGATCCATTTCACCATTCAATACCACTAGCCAGTAAGCTTAGGGCTATCATGTCAAACCAGAAGCCACGCTAAACCCTAAAACCCCAACCCTAGTGTTTCTTCACGTCAGAGTTTCGCTGCAGAATCCCTGTAGAACCACTCTCAACCAGAAGCCCATGAATGGGAACCCCTGCGCTCCCAACGCCAATCTAGGTTCCACCCTTTTTTTCTGGCAATTTTGGGGATCATTAGGCTGAATGATGGTTAATTACTTAAGAGGCACCTAGGGGGGTAGTAGCGCGGGGTACAGTAGCAGGGGAACCCATGACAAATTCAAAAAACTCACATTGAATGACCTTACATGGTCCCGGAGCGGAGGTCCTTCTTGCAAGGAGCCAGCTCATGAAACTTCAAGCTCGAAAAGCCATGGTTTAGGGTTTAGGGTTTCGAGTTTAGGGCCTGAGCGCCTGACACTAATCAGGCAAAGCCTTCATAAGAATGGAAAAGACAATGGAAACGACTATTTAGGGTTTAGAGTTTGGGAACGGAAAAGAAAATGGTATCTACAACGTAGCAGCCAAAACCCTATGAGGAGCAGACCCCAAACCCAAGCAGAAATCCCATAAGTTTCCGCGTGACAGAAGAATCTTGCTAATATAAACCCCTTTTTACTATAGTTGTTTCCATTCTATGTTCCATTATCCCAATATTATCCCGATGTAACCCTAATATGAACGCCACATGGCCCACAGCATTACTGCCACAAAGCCCTGTGCTCTCCCGCTTAGACCTCATGACAGTTAATTGGACAAACTATCACGATCTCATCGGACCTCAGCTTATAATCCCCCTTAAGTAGGTAGGTTTAGGGTTTAGGGTTTAGACTATGGGGTATATGGGGATCTTAATATAATATACACAACGTCATATTCTATCTACTTAAGGGGGACTATTCGTGGTAATTTACATAGGAAACAGTCCCAAAGGCTTGCGTACTTGCAGGACCTAACATTGCTGTAAAATGACCAGAAGCGGGAGTTGGGTCATACCCTCGTAATGCCTTTTAATCCGCATCATCTCCCTATCTGCCCTATCTAATCTCTGTAACTAGCTTTTTCACCCTAA